TTCTTTATTTCGCAAATTATATAGTTTAACATAAAGTTTAACGAACAATGTTTATTAAAAAATTAAATCTATACAAGACACCTTTGAAAAACCTTCAAATCTGTTTGTATAATATATACATCAAATAGAAACAATTGTTCTGCATTGAAAAAAAAACAATCTTTCTATATAATCACATGTTTACGTTCGTGTCGTTAATTTTATATTTTGTTTGTTTTGATTCAGTCTTGACCCATATATCTTCTACTTAAATATTCAATTAACATAGACTAACAAAAGCTTTTACTTGGTATGAGTATGTCAATAATTTGAATTCGACTGATCTTTAAAACATAGCACGAATCAATTTATGACTGATATTTTTGTTTAGTTAATAGATTTTGTTAATGTGTCACAAAACCATTTATTATATGAGAATATATATCTCAATCGATAGTGACAATTCTTTTTCAACACCTATTTTATATAATGAAGTCGCAATACTTTTATTTCAATATTAATTACCATTATTGTTTGAGCTAAAACCATATCAGTTATGCTATAATAGAAATGTTCTTATTTGCAACAATGCTTTTGTAATAAATAAGTTTCATTTTTATAAAATATTAGAATTCAATAATACTATTAATATAAAAGCAAATTAATTCTGAATTGATTACGTTATGTAAAATGACAATGTATGCCATCCTTGAAATAACGATAGAGAAAAACTTTTCGTCTATTATTATTATAATTCACGACAGTTGTTTCTCTTTTAGAATATGCACATTCTATAACTACACAGTTAATTTAACGCTAAACATGTATAAAGCAATTTTACTGATGTAGTGAATTGTACAAAACAATTAGTAACAACTGTTTCACGGATGATTTCTTTGTAATTGAAATTCTATATGATTCAAAGAATATTCTACTAAATATATGTGCGTCCAATGTCTTATTTTTTTTTTGGAAATAACAAAATTTTGTTTATAATTAAATACAATCGACATTGTGTTACTTGAATATTAATTAGCTGAAAGCATTTTTTTTTAAATGTATTCTTAAGAAAAAATATCTCGAAAAGAATTGTAATATTTAAACTTTTTTTGTCAAAATTATTATCAAAAGGAAAACACCATCTAGTAAAGATGGCGTTTTCAAGTGAAAAACATAAAAGATTTTAGATTAGGTTTAAGTTTATCATTGAATTTCAATTAAATTAAAATCTTTCATTTTAATTTAATAACTCAATTTTCCTCAATATTTTATCGATTTCTATCTCCACACGTTGATTGTTGATAGGCTAATAAAAACCCAATTCATCCAATCAAACAAACACAACCCATATTCCGTTGTTTGCTCATTGATTTGTCTTTTCGTCTCTCTTCCATTAAATATAATACTAAGAAAGAAAGAGAATGAAGAAAGCCGTCTAAACTATATTCTTCACTTGATCGTTTTCGTATGAGTTCATACTTGTATATATTCGGAAGAGAGAAAAAGAGAACATTTCTTATTCTTCTAACTGACCGTTGACCTATACATTCTATTTTAGCATCATCTTTATCATGATTCGATCAAGCTATTCATTATTATTACTTGTTCTCATTGCAACCGTTTATTCAACAGATTATTTTGTTGAAAAATTCGAAGGTAAAATTAATCTTTGAATAATTTTTACTGATAGTTTTTTTTTTGTTTTCATTTTCTTTAAGATGAGTCTTATAAAAAACGATGGGTTCAATCAACAGCTAAATCGGATTTCGGTGAATTTAAATTATCACATGGTAAATTTTATGGTGATGCAAAAAAAGATCTTGGTAAGTCAATTTAAAAACATATTCTTCTTATAAAAATTCTTTGTTTAGGTCTTCAAACATCTCAAGATGCTCGTTTCTATGCTATGTCAGCTAGTTTTGATCAATTTTCAAATGAAGGCAAAACACTTGTTATTCAATTTTCTGTTAAACATGAACAAAAAATTGATTGTGGTGGTGGTTATGTTAAAGTTTATCCAGCCGGTACTGATCAAAAAGGTCTTACCGGTGATTCATTATATCACATTATGTTTGGTAAATTATTTTTTTTCCTTTTTAATTTATTTTTATATTTTATTATTTTCGTCATTTAGGACCTGATATTTGTGGTTATAGTACGAAAAAAGTTCATGTCATTTTTACATATAAAGGAAAAAATTTATTAATTAAAAAAGAAATTAAATGTAAAGATGATGAATTTACACATCTTTATACATTAATTCTCAATCCGGATAATACTTATGAAGTTCGTATTGATACTGAAAAAGTTGAAAGTGGTAAACTTGAAGAAGATTGGGATTTTACTGTACCAAAACGAATCCCAGATCCAAATGCTAACAAACCATCGGATTGGGTTGATGAAGAAAAAATCGATGATCCAACTGATACTAAACCAGCTGGTTAGTTATAATTACATAAAAACTAAAGAACTAAAAAATCAATATTTTCTTTTTATAATAGATTGGGAGAAACCAGAACATATTCCTGATCCTGATGCTAAAAAACCTGAAGATTGGGATGATGAAATTGATGGAACATGGGAACCACCAATGATCGATAATCCTGAATATAAAGGTGTTTGGAAAGCTCGTCAAATTGATAATCCAGCTTATAAAGGACCATGGGTTCATCCTGAAATTGATAATCCTGATTATGTTGAAGATGCAGATCTTTATTTATATAAAGATATTGGTATGATTGGTTTTGATTTATGGCAAGTTAAATCGGGTACTATCTTTGATAATGTAATTATCACTGATAGTGTTCAACGTGCTGAAGAATTTGCTAAGGAAACATGGGTAACAACAAAGGAGCCAGAAAAAAAAATGAAAGATGATCAAGATGAAGTTGAACGAAAGAAAGAAGAAGAAGAACGTAAAAAACGAGAAGCTGGTTAGTATTTTGTTTTCATTTTAAATGACAAAAGGAAAACTCTTTCATTCTTTATATTTATAGAAGAAAAATCAAAGAAAACTGATGATGATGGTGATGAATCGGATGCTGATGACAAGAAATCACCTCATGCTGAAGATGAATTATAAATAATAAAGTAAAAACAAATAACAAAAAAAAAAACACTTACATCGTACATTCCCAGTCAGTCTTAGTTGGACAATAACAACCATATAAATAAAAAAAGAAAAAGAGAAACATCTTGTGAGGTAGTTCCCCCTATTTCTTCTCTATTTAAACACTTTAGTTATGTTGATTAATCTTTGTTTTCTTTGCTATTGTTGTGTTTGTTTTTTTGCTCTGTTTTTTTTTTCTGAAACGAAAAAAATAGCCAATGGTGCAAGATTAGGAAAAAGAAATGCAAAATAACACATAAACTTACTTCACAATAACACTTAAAAGAAAAAAACAACAGATCGGTTTTTTGTTTTTATTATTATTATTGTTGTTTATTGCGCCGATGTATACAGCAGTTTTTTTTTCTCTTATTTATCTATCTTTTATGTGCTTGTGCTTGTTTTGTGTGTGTGTTTATTTGATTTGACTATATCTTGCACGCCGTTCTCCTTTCTTCATTTTTTTTTTATACGTCGCTGTTTATGGATTAAAACAAAAAGAATATTAGAAAAAGATATTGTGATGATTAATGCACATAAAAATTCAATTTCAACCGATGTTTATATGTTATTCAGAATGGATAACATTACAAGAAAGATCAAGTATATATTAGATAAAGATTCAATGTTGTTTCTTTTTGTAGAACATGAAGAAATTTTTATATTTCTATTTGTAAATTCTCAATCATTTTTTTCTGAGAATTTAATTTGATTGATATCTTTATTATATATCATGCTATTAGTTGCGATAGAAATATCGAATATCTCTTTATCAATCAAATGTATTTGGTGTTGATATCAAGGAATTATTGTTGTTTATATGTAAATGAGAGATTGATATGATCATTCATTCTAACTCATATCTACAATGGTCATAATCATAGTTAAGAGGATGATCAAATTTTAGTTTTTGTAGACAATTTTTTCAGCGTGATCAACAAGTACTACTCATGTCGATCACTAATCTAGAATGACCTTTGAAAGAGATTATTTTTGTAATGTAATCAGATCATGCTTTTTTTTTTTGTAAGGTCTTATTTGAATAATGAATATCTTAAGGTTTTATCTAATCACAGCCATAAACTGCAATAAAAAGCTCTTCAGTTTATATGAATTTTGCGTTCGATGAAGTTGTACTTCTTCATATTAAAGAACTTTATGACTTGTCGGCATGAATATTAAAATCTGCTCAACCTACGAACAAAGGAAGTTCCTCAATTGATTAATTTCTTGTTAACTTAGGACTGCATACATCATGTAGATCTGAATGAACTATAAATACCTTGAGAAAAGTTTGAACTCTTAGCTTATTGCTAGAGAGATACTTCATTTTTGCGTGATTTTTTAACTCAGTGCCACATTCTTTCTAAGCAAACTGATTTTCACATTTTGACTTGAAATTTTGTATAGAGATAAGCTTTAACAAGAATCGTTTGCTGTGAAAGTTTCAAGTCTTTTGAAGTCTTATTTCTGGATAGAAGCAAATGCAAAAACCTGCAATATTCACAATAAACTATTCGTGTTAATGCTTGTTTCTCTGCAAATTTTCAAATCGAAATGCGAAAATAACTTTTTCTGATGTTCTTGAGGGGTAGATCCTGGTAT